CCACGAAGACAACACGCCACCGCAGCAGTGGGCACTAGGACGAATCGCCGCAACCATAGAAGGACGAGACGGAAAGGTGCGAGTGGCAGACGTGGCAACCAAGGCAGGCACCATTAAGCGCCCTATTCACAAGTTAGCCCTGCTGCCTATCGAAGTTGAAGGATCATGATCCTGTCAAGGTGGCCGGTGTTGCGTCTAGCGACTTTATACGTCTAAAACTAATGGTTTAAAAAGAAATTTGTAAAATTAATTAAAGAATCTATGAATATTATTAAATGTTGTTTTTTAAATCATCTAAATACTTACCATTTTTATATTATCAAAAAAGAAAACATCTACTACCTATGTATTAAAATAATCTATTACCATGAACTTAASATTGCTGAATTGAATTAGAACTAGATACTTACCCCTCTTTTGTATACATACTTACCTCTAGTCTAAGCCGTTAGGTTAAGATTTAGGCTAACTAATGAACTGTTGAAATAAAGAATGTCATTGTATTAAAGACTATACCCGCGAACGGACGTTTTTTCTTTTGGAACCGGAATCTTTTTAAAATCGAGATTAGCACAGGCAATTAGCTTTTAGTTTAATCTTAAAAAAGCTTAAGATTTTTTCACAAGGTCTTACAAAACAAAAAAGGGGGAAAGACATATCATACTCTAAATTTATTTCTGAGAGTGACGGTCTAATAAGAAATTGCAATCGATTTGCTTCTTCGCCGATTCAAGAAAAATATGAATCTGCCCTAGAAAGAAAAAGCCAAACAATTGAAAATGTTTGGACACGTCTCCAGGCTGCATATGAGGCAATTGTAGATACTGACGATTCAGATCTACCAGAAAACTTTAAATCTTCTGCTTACGCCAAATTTGAAAGCCGCTTAGACCAGTATGAAGACACAAAAATTATGATCGCAGATCAGCTAAAATTAATTAAAGCAGTTGCACCTTCCAATTCAAGAGGCAAGTTCGGGTAGCCACCTTAAGGTGCCCGCATGCGACACTGAAATTTTCTATGGTGGTTATGAACAATGGCCGTCCTTCCATCATATGTTCACAGCTGTTTACATAAACCATCCGAAATTATCAAATGCTCAAAAGTTGTATCACCTCATATACAAAACAAAAGGTCAAGCAGGCGTCATCGTAAAACAGTTTAAAAGCTTTGAGATCAAGGTACGAAAACGAACGAATACTGGTAGATAAGCAAATAACGATATTGATGAACTTGCCCAAAATTCAAAAGGAAACAAGTGAAGAATATATGAAACTTCAATCCACTGTCTCCAACTCTTTGTCGGTTTTAGCCACACAAACCGATCCCAGACAAATGATATTCCGGTAAATATATGCACCGCCGCATTATCAGAAAAATCGTTATTGCTATGGGAATAATCTCTTTCATGAAGAAAAAAAAATTCCCACGTGGCAGCAAATGAAAGATTTCCTAACTACCCAGTATGAAATCGCAGAAAGAGTTAATAAAAAGATAAATAAAAACAAGTAAGGAAGGACTAAGTTCGGGTGTCACCGAACATTTTATACTCTCGCATGATAGAGTGATAATCGAGATATCAGGCGTGGTTGTGAACCGATACATGTCATCAGGGTGTTAAGAAAATATTATATACCGAATTTCATTGAAATCGGTCGAGTACTTCCTTAGATATGATTTTTGGTCCATAAGTGGACGACGCCACGCCCATTTTCAATTTTTAAA